TATATACACACATTAGATTGCCTTGCAAATTATTGAGTTTTGGTGGCTTAAAATATTAATTTAATTGTTTTAGTCCTACAATTCAAAGCTCAACTCCACCATACAAAAAAGAAAACTTGGGGCCCAGCAGGTGAATAAAAATATAAACTCAGCTCTGGCTGCAATACTAACCGCACAATTACTACTCTGTGACCCAAAACCAGTCCTCTTATGGGTTAAATGATGTACATCGTCATCTATCCGACATTCTGTAAGCCCAGGCTGTCATGGCCAGTCCTCATAGGTGCGTCATAATGGTGCAGGCAAGGTCATATGGTACCCTTGGACAAAACAGCGCTCACACGGTGAGTAAGGGCCACCCATTGCGTCAGCTAGAAGAGAAGCAAGCTGAGACATTAGATAAGTGACCAGAAGACTGCAGGAATGAAGATGTGTAGAAATGGATAAAAAGTGATGGGTGGGAGGGGGCTTCAGATCGACTCCATTCCCCTTCCATACAGGACTGAGGACCTTTACCCTGATCTTTATAATAACACCAAACACACCTTTTAGAAATGTTTAGTAATGACAATCTACAAACACATACTTGTCCAGTCTTCTGACAGTGGCCATGTTTACTAAGGGCGGGTTACTATGGGCAATCCCTTAAAGGAGAACTATGAGGTGAGTGCTTATCACTCGCCTCATAGTTCTAGCCGACCTTTGACAATGAGACTGTCACAGGTCGGCTCAGTAGATCGGGAGGTGAGCGAACACATACCGGCGTTCGCTCACCTCTCGATCCTGTCACGGCTCTCTGCTGTGACAGGGGAGGGGCTGGATTCCCCCCTCCCCGCTCCGCTAGTGCTGACTGGCGGAACGGACGGGGAGGGGGCGTGTACAGCTGGCTATGCCTCTAGATAGGCAGAGCCAGCTGTCAGTCACGCAGCTGGGCGGATCTTGGCACAATTGTCGGGATCCGCTTCAGCTGCGGCGTCTCAGTATACCGCGAGATGCAGCCTAGGGTGACGGGAGGACGCT